GACCACCGTGGCCCCACCGTACGCCGCAGTACACAAATGAGGAAACTATAGTTGGCCGGTAACGGTAATGGACGGTGGGAGCTTAATTAGTGTAGTAACCGGATCTGTAATTACTGATTGAAATGGGAAGTCCTTTGGGTGGGGAATAGATCAGGTTAGTAACTTTATGGTGAGTAACTATGAGTAACCCGCCCACATCAGCATGACATCAGCATCCTCTCTCCTGGAAAGCCTTTAATTTTCCCCTCCTTAATCTTTGACGGACGATTTCTCACTCGTTTTAAGTCGAAATTTAATTTTTATTGCACAGTTAGATCAGATTAATTGTGCTCTTCAAAATGATATCCACTTTTATATATTTTTCGAACAAAAAAAATTGAGCCATTTTTTACCAGTCTATACCATATGGTATTGACTGGTATTGAAATAAGAGCATACCTATGGGTTCAAAAGCGTACCATGGTGGTATGAACAAACCAAGACTGTAGGATGATTGAATACATGATAGTAGAAGTATATTAATTGTCATTTACGACTTTTAACATTGTATACCATAAAATACCATAAAATACCACCCCGTACCAGGGTGGTATTGTATGGTATTGTGTGGTATTTTTTGGTCTTGTAATTTGTTCACCCAGAAATTTGTAGATCCAATAGATCATGATGAACTCGTCCCTGCTGTGCAAACGTTTTCAAAAACGAATGAAAAACGAAGAAAATACCATATGGTATGCAGTTGGTACCGAGAGGCCAGAATTTTTTTTCCTCAAAAAATATTGAAAATTGATCTCATTTTGTAGAACACGATGAACTCGTTCCATCTGTGCAAAAAAAATTAAAATCCGAGTTAAAACGAAAAAGATATGGGTCAATTAAGAAAACTAGTGAAAATAAAAATAGCCTTTAATTCTCCATCCTAGATCTGGATTTTCTAAATGAAGGGTCCAGATTTGGTTATTGATGGGTGCATAACCATGGGTTATGCACCCTATCTTGAGCCTTTGGGTGGGGTTCTTTCTTGTCAAAATTATGGATACTGTGCCCTTTCTTTAATTATATTGGATCGGGTCGGATTTCGGCTCTACTGCAAAATTAAATTAAAAGTTGTTTCGGGCTTTGACCCCAGTGCTCATTAAACTAAGGGGTCGTTTGCTTCAAGGATTTGGTACATGGATTTGGTACAAAAAAACCAACTATCAAGGATTTAGGTACAATCCGTTGTTTGCTTGCACCTTTTTTGGAGACCAAATTCGTGGGGCCCATGGATTTTAAGGGTCCAAATCCGTGGACCCCACGGACTTATAAATCCCACATGTTGATATGGGATTTGGAATATGACATAAATCCTTGATGAGATGTTACCCATATACCCTCATGCGCTTTTAATATTCCAAGGTTGCCCTCAAATTTAACTATTATACATTATAATTAACAATAAATGAATAATATAAACGTTCAATTAATGTGCAAACATGAGTTAGATTTTTTTATATTATTTCTTGTGTTCTAGTTTTCTTTGACCTTTTCATGGAACATGTAATTCTTTATTCTCCCGATTCTAATATATGTTGTTATATGTTACTTTTGAAAAGGAGGACAAAGAATTGGTAATTAATTATGTTACGTTAAAAGTTAAAACAGAATTTTCTCATTTATTATTATTGTCCATGTGGCAACATTATGCTTATTAGTATGTATTGTCCTTGTTTTGTGTACATATCATAAACATGTCAAACATATAGAAAATGATAGTAAGGTAATTTTGAAGTTTTGTCCTTGTTTGGTGTACATATCATAAACATGTCAAACATATAGAAAAGGGCAGTAATGTAATTTTTGACTTCAAGTAGTAAATCCCACACCTTTAAATGCATGATAAAAACATCCCAACAAACAAAGGATTGTTACAAATCCATGATGCCTCAAATCCTTGATAAATCTTTGGGTTTTTAAATTACAAAACCCTCATTTTTAAATCCATGAAGCAAACGACCCCTAATTATTTGAGAGTTATTTCCTTGTTCGGTATATTTATATATCACTAAAAGTAATTTGTGTCATCCAGTGGGAGACGGGAAGAGTCGAGTTCGAAGTAGGCATCTCTTATTCTCATTACTGATAATGTCATTTTCATATTAATTAGTAACGAATAAGATTGTATTGCAGTTGGTTATGAGAACTGGGTTACAGAAGGGTCTATCTATTCGAATGCACATCTGTCAAAGTACAAACATGAAACGCGTTAATTTATTAACCTTGAAAGAATCAAGAATCAATTTTTTCCCCACGTTGAAATGGAGAGGATAGCGTTAATAATGGATTGTACGACTTAATAAAGGCTATCATAAGTAGAGTTGTATCATCATTGTATAACATAAGTTAGAACAGGAACAATAGTTGTAGTCTTGTAGAGATTAGATAGAACTTATATGAAAACGGGTCGAGAATGATGCTAAACAAAGAAGGGTTAGGTAGAAGGAGGACTGATCATATTATATCATATCCCTTTTTACTGATCAAAAGATAGATAACTCGTTCTGAGAAACAAATAAAATTTAGGGAGTCATATCAAAACGGTTATCGTTAATTAATATTAGGTTAAAGTGAAACTATGTGAACTACCACTACCAAGTTAATTTGCTTTCATATTATCTGTTGGGTTTCAGCTTCCAAGTTCACAACAAACATGTTCCGACATACATACACTATGCCCAGGTCACATATATTCGCGAGTCAAATGATGACGAAAATTGAAAAGTCTCCGAATTTTGTTAGGAGAAATTCTGTCATCGATCAACAAGGGCTCTCCTGTAAGGCAAAGGATGAAAAAGTGCTGTGTATATATTATATTCCAACTCTTTTAATATAACTAACTCAATTCTTAACCAGTTAACCCTTTAAACCACTTTGAATTCATTTCACGTGTGAATTCAATCAAGAAGTACTAGCTACAAGTTAAAATTATGTTCTCTTCAAAACTCTATGACAACATTTAAAAGTACACACATTTCATAGCTTTTTTTACCATAAATATTTATTAGAATTCTGATATAATTTTAAGGCATGATCCTTTTGAATTTTGATAATGCGGAAATCATAATACATCAATCACACTCTAGATTTGAATTTTATGATCAACGACCATTTTTACACGAAAAAAGAATATTATGGAGATGTCATATGTGTATGTTTTATAACTTAATAAATTGATTCAAACCAACTCGAATACAAAACTTCTTTATAAAAGAGACTTATAAACTTTCACATGTCAAACTAATGGAGAGGCGATTGTATAGAAATTATTTTAAATAATTAAGTATAATTACATCATTCACAGCTAGGCCTGTTAGCGGTGCGGTTTCGGTTTTAATCGAACCGCAAAGTCGGTTAGGCGACACCGAGAAAGAGGCAACACCGGCAACCGCAACCGCGACCGACGGCACCATCGGTTAGCCGATAACCGCAACCGTCGATTTCGGTTTCAAACGACGGTTATTCAGAGACCGACGCACACCACCTCCGACCACCACCATCGCTATGCATGTCACCGAAAAATCCCAATTTTGAACCATCGGCAGAGGAAGAAGAGAGACCCGTCGGAGACAGATGAGGAGCGACGACGAGCATATGTGGGTGTCAAATTCGAATCTGAGTCCGTGAATCGAGGTAGATGAGGGAGGAAGAGGAGAGAGCGTCGAGAGGAGGATTTGGATCTAAATCCGTCATCGAAGGCAGAGGAGGAGCGACGACGAGCATACATGGTCGGAGTTCTTGATCGGCGGCAGAGGCGTGGATCTGAATCCGTTGTCGCTCGAAACATGCAAGGCGAAGGTGGAGCAACGACCATCGTCGTTTCGAAATCGACCTCTGGATTGGGAGGCGGAGCGAAGGGGGCGACGAGTTAGAGGAAGGAAGGAGTCGGGGATGGCGAGGTAGAGGACGGGAGAGGGAGATGTTTCGAGAAGGAAGGGAGAGGGAGAGGTCTGGGGAAGGAAAGAGCTCGGTATGGCAAAGTAGAGGAAGGGAGAGGGACATGTTTGGAGAAGGAAGAGAGGGAGAGGTCTGGAGTGGAAGGCGAATTGGCGATGCAGAAGAGGAGGGAGAGGAATCGCCGGTTATAGCGGTGCACCGAAAGTATTTCGGTTTGTAACCGACGGTTTCCGGCTAGCGTAAAGGCCAAAATCAATCAACCGCAACCGAGACCGACAACAGCTTATCGGTTATCGGTTTCGGTTATAAACCGACGGTTCGATTCGATTGTTCGGTTAAGCCAGATAACCGGCAACTGATTATCACCCCTATTCACAGCCATTTGAAATTATAAAAACCTCATAATTAAACCTTTTAACTCTCTACGTTCTACATTAAACCCAAAACATAGATCCGATGTACAGTATGTCAATGAAATTAAATTGGCGGATAGTGTCACTAAAAAGGGAACTTGGTGGGTAGGGCCTCTGATTGCACCAAGCGAAAAAAGAAAAAAGTAACAGCGTTGCGTTGCCCGCGTTCCCCTTTTCCCGCCTACACTTGTCCTTCCCTCTGCAGTCTGCAGTGCACCTCGCAGACTTTTATTGAAATAAAGAAAGTCCATTTTTTTATTTTTCTTAAAAAAACAATTATTATATACTTAATTCAACGAGAGAGAAAAAAAAATTAGCATCCTTTTCCGTTTCATTTTTTCACTTTTCCCGTTTGCTAACGATGCTGACGTAACCACAACGAGTTGACTTCCGGACACGCCTCACACGGCTCCGCCCCCCCACAGTAAAAATTAAAAAACCATTCACCCTCCCAAAGTCCCACCAACCAATTTTACCCCGCAGTAAATTCCGGAACTATATAAACCTCCATCCCCTTCCATTTCCTCCTCACTTCGCTTCGCTCTCTCATTTTTTTAACAACAAGCTTTCTCCCAAAGCTTTTAACAAAACTTAATTAACTCGACTCTTTCCTTTCTTCTCCGGCCACCGGGAAAAAAAAATCCTGACCAGAAGATGCAGATCGGAATCGCAAACACTCTCCCGGCGCACCAGGTCCACCTTTTTCAGGCGAGGCGCGCCGGCAGCTTCAAGTACAACCAATCCCCCCTCAATCCTTCAACTGTAATTTCTTCCTCCGCCTCTTCTCCGGCGACAATCTCCGCCCCCGATTGCACCAAGAGGCATCTCGCCAACCTCGACAAGCTTCTCCAGAAGGAAACGCCGAATTCCAGATCCAACCGCCTCGATTCGATTCCCAAAGTTCCGAGACCGGATAATGGAGCGGCGCCGTCGGGTTTGGCGAGTCGGGGGAGGAATTTTCTAGAGGGGCTGAATCTGGCTCGGATCTGGCCGGAGATGAAGGCGGCGGCGGAGGAGATGTCGCCGAGGCACCTGAACAGGCTGCACCGCCTCCTCTCGATGACGGCGGAGTACTCCCCCCGCAACAGCCTGGCCTGCCGATGGAGGGATTACCACGGCGGTAACGACTGGAAGGGGATGCTCGACCCTCTCGACGAGAATCTCCGGCGGGAGGTGGTCCGGTACGGCGAGTTCGTCCAGGCGGCGTACCACGCCTTCAACTCAGATCCAGCAACGGAGGCCGACGAGGCCCCGCTCCCCGTCCGCGTGGCGCTCCCCGATAGGTCCTACAAGGTCACCAAGTCGCTCTACGCCACGTCATCCGTCGGGCTGCCGAAGTGGGTCGATGAGGTGGCCCCGGATCTCGGGTGGATGACCCAGCGAACCAGCTGGGTCGGGTACGTCGCGGTTTGCGACGACCGTAGGGAGATCCAGCGCATGGGCCGCAGGGACATCGTGATCGCCTTACGTGGCACTTCGACCTGCTTAGAATGGGCCGAAAACATGCGGGCCGGATTGGTCCCAATGGAAGACGAATCATCATCATCATCTCCCCAAGCCCAAACCCAAACCCAGCCTAAAGTCGAGTGCGGGTTCCAAAGCCTGTACAAAACCGAAGGAGCCCATGTCGCCAGCCTGGCCCAATCCGTGGTCCAGGAAATCAAACGCCTAATGGAGCAGTACAAAGGCGAGACGCTTAGCATCACGGTCACCGGCCACAGCCTCGGCGCCGCTCTGTCCCTCCTCGTCGCCGACGAGCTGAGCAGCTGCTCCCCCGACGTGCCGCCGGTGGCGGTTTTCTCCTTCGGGAGCCCCCGCGTCGGGAATCGTGCATTCGGCAAGCGGCTGACGGGGAAGAGCGTGAAGGTGCTAAGGATCGTGAACAACCAGGACGTAATTACCAAAGTGCCCGGGCTGCCGATGGTGGATGAGTTGGACGATGACAACCACCCATTGGCGTACAGCCACGTGGGCACGGAGCTACGTGTAGACACGCGGATGTCCCCCTACCTGAAGCCGAACGCCGACGTGGCGTGCTGCCATGACCTGGAGGCGTACTTGCACTTGGTGGACGGGTTTTTGGCGTCCAACTGTCCGTTTAGGGCGAATGCGAAGAGGAGTTTGGTGAAGTTGTTGAATGAGCAGAGAGGGAATGTAAAGCAGTTGTATACTAGCAAGGCGCAAGCCTTGAGCTTGAAATTTGAGAGGCAAGGGCTTGCGGCTACTGGCTGCTTGCCTAGCCCTTCTTCTTCTTGACTATTAATGAAATTAGACCATTTTGGTTCAAGAAAATTTGTTGTCTGTTTTACTGTCCATAATGGTATCGCTTTGAAATCCAACTTCAAACTATGGGAACATTGTGGGGGTTAGGTGATATGGGATGCGTTATTGACGACTCAAAACCTCCTAACAAAATACTGATCAGTTCGAATCTTTTAAATAACAACTAATTTGTATCATCCTTATCAACAAAAGACAATACAATTTAAGGTATTTGAGGTGTGGGAACATACAATGTACTCCATGCCATACTTCATCTTATTATATGTAATTTTATATTAGTTCGAAAAAGTATTTACGTTTAAATAAACTCATAGTGTAAGGGCGTTTGCAATGCTATACAATCAGAGCCTCAACATACCAATGTATCCAACCTTTTTTTTTTTTTACCAATTTCATAACAGATTGAATAATCTGGTGTGATACAAATTTTTACGCTCCGTAAATTGTATTTCAGTATGTTTACTCATGAGTTAAGGGGACCAATTTTGTGAGTTTGCTATTGAGGGTATAGTTCGAAAAGGATTTGGTGATGAGTGGGTGTTTGACATGGTCGTTTTGATGACATGGTGAAGCTATTTGTTAATGTGACTTTATCGAACTAACACTATATTAAACAACTAATAATCGTAGTGTGATATTTACCGTTTAGTGGAGACCATACATCGTATAGAGGTAAACCTTGCTCTTTTTTTTTTTTTTTTTTTTTTTTTGTTAAACACATACCGTAGTTTTGTTCATATTTGTGGGACACTTTCAGTGACTCGGAATTCAGGACTGGCACAAAATGGCCACTTTGTTACTTAGTGATGGAATGTGAATTCGAGTGTCCACACACTGTTTGGTCTTCCATCAACCGGACAATCAAATCTGGAATTCAATGCCATGTTTCCCGGCGCTGGCCATTTTGTTAAATACTATCCGGTGTGCAAATTGAGGAATCGGCTACAAACTTTAGACTAGTATTTTTTTTTTTTTTTTTTGGAAGCGTACTTTAGACTTTGTACAGTTGCTACTGGGTTTACAAGGAAACTTTAATTAATTTGATCATGTGTTACACATAATAAGTTAACTTTCTCTTTATGACTCTCATGTCTTGAAGTAGTAAGATCGAGATAAGTATGTTGTGAGCTAGAGAGTCAAACCAATCGTCTTAAATGAAGTCATCTTCTTTCTATTATCTAAAGTCATATTGTCTCCAACGCTGCCCCTGATAGATTCATCGATCGCCTTCACCGTATTTATTGCTTCGTACTTCCCTATTTGGTGTCACGACAACGTACGTAGTATTGTTGCAGACCCTGAGTGGCACATGATGTCATTTGCTATTCTCGACGCCTATTTTTATTTCTCTTCACTCATCTGAAGTCGACAAGGTCGGAGGCGCCGTATATATGTGTAGTCTTTTTGGTTTCTAAATCAAATTGGCGTGGATAGCTCCATGTTGGGCCTACAGGCCCAGTTTATGGGTTGCATGAGGTGGGCTCTTTGTTTAGAACTTGTACCTCTCGTCTCAACTCTCAACTGCCAGACCAGGAGCTTTTGATGTACCATAAATTTATATTTATTGCATAAACTAATCCAATTAAATGTCACAGTCGACTGTTAGCATAAACAACAAGAATCCAACCATTATAATAAGTAGGCTTAATTATACTAACTGTTGAGGACAAGACATAATAATGTACCATAATAACGTGTTAGCTAGAGGAAGAAGAAAACATAATAGTAAACACCAATAACAAAGCTTTGAACAAGAAAAGTGGAGGGTCATCCGCAGCAGAAATCTACCATCTCATCGCGTCCAAACACGAGGCAGTCTATGAAACATTCTTCTCTTTTTCGCCCATTTTTATCAACACATTCCAGCCCCTTTCCTTCAAATATATATACGCCACGGTTGAGGGTACGGAAACATATCACTCAAACCAATCAAGGCCACTTCAACACGAAAACTGGTGCAAAAATAAGGTTTGAAAACAAAAGAAGAGCAAAAGAAGGTTGCCATCCATTCCCTCTCTAAGTCCAGTTTTCTTTTCTTGGGCCGCATGGTCTATGTGTAAAACATCTCTTTTCATTTTCATGTGATGGAGAATTTCGAAAATTCACAATCTGGATAGTTTCATGTGTTGCTCGGAATTTGAGCTTCGGCATTCATAGGGACGTGAGATTTCAAATGTTTTATGTTCTGCATGGTTCGTTTTTGATGCAGATGAGTACCAACGATAACAACGGAAACGATGGCGAAAAGCGTACCCCAAAACTGAACGAGAGGATCCTTTCATCGCTGTCCAAGAGAACCGTTGCTGCTCACCCGTGGCATGATCTAGAGATCGGTAACGCTACTCACATTGTTTATAAATAAAGCACAAATAGTGTCATCTGAAATTTGTTCGGTCATCATAGAAAGGGTTATCTTGTAAATTTTTTCTTGTGGAGTCTTTATCAATGAAATTATAAATGGTGGTGTTCGCATCTGCAGGCCCTGAAGCGCCCAAGGTTTTCAACGTGGTATGATTTCTTTTCGGATTTAGTGGTTCGCAGGATAAATCGTGTTACTCGTCCTCAATCATGGTTATGGATTCATGCAGGTCGTTGAGATCACTAAGGGAAGCAAGGTCAAATACGAATTGGACAAGAAGACGGGAATGATTAAGGTAATAAATACCATAGTTTTGAGTCACACAATGTTCCCTAAAAAATACTCATCCACATTGTTTGAGATTTCCTCCTGATCTACAACCATGAACCGATTCAGGTTGATCGTATTTTGTACTCGTCCGTGGTTTATCCTCACAACTATGGATTCATTCCTCGAACATTATGCGAAGACAATGATCCTTTGGATGTTTTGGTTCTCATGCAGGTATAGGTTTAATTTCTTCTTTTTGTCTATCTGATATTCATCTCCAACTCAAATCTTTCTAATTTTCTTTTCCATTTGACAGGAGCCTGTTCTCCCAGGCTGCTTTTTAAGAGCCAGGGCCATTGGACTTATGCCCATGATTGATCAGGTAATGCATATGCTTCATCTCTAATATTAGTAGCCATGTGATTTCCTTAGCATTTGTGACCCAAGAGTTTACAATTAGGGTTCATTCATTTTTTTTTTTTTTTTTGGTGAGTCAGGGTGAGAAAGATGACAAGATCATTGCAGTTTGTGTTGACGATCCTGAATATAAGTATTACAATGACATTAAACAGTTGCCTCCTCACCGTCTTATGGAGATCCGTCGTTTCTTTGAAGATTGTATGTCCTCTCTCTCTAATAGTAACCATTTAATGACGGAACTAAATAGGGTGACTAATAATATTAGTCTCTTTCTTAACAATGTCTTTGCAGATAAGAAGAATGAGAACAAGGAAGTTGCAGTAAATGAGTTCTTGCCTTCGGACTCTGCTACTGAAGCCATCCAGTACTCTATGTAAAGTTCTTGATTATCTTAAATTATAAAGCTAATTTCCCTCTTCTATACAACCTTAATTCCTTTGCAAAAAGGGTTTTGACTTTTTTTTTCTTTTCATTTTACGATCTTTTAATGCAGGGATCTTTATGCTGAGTACATTATGCAGACGCTTGGACGATGAGCAAGAAGAGGCAAAGGAGGACATGCTCTTTAAGTTGGTTCCTTGTTTGGCCAACTCTCAAGATATACTATACAATAATCCCATTTTTTGAGTTACGTTTTATCACCACTACGTATTTAAGTTTTGATTATGCATTTCAAGAGTTAAGCAGTGTCGCGAAATGCAACTTTTTTCTTTTTATCCTTTGGATCGTTTCGTCCTCTCTATATGTAGAGGCTATACATATATGTATAACGTAAATGGATCGATGATTTGAGTTCTTTTTTTATTCTTTAATGGAAGTTTGTCTTAATTTCTAATTACTTGATTTTCAATCGGAGATAGAGTGTGAGCGGGAGCAAAAGGGTTAGAGTGTCTAATTTTCAATTATTTAATTTCAAAACGTAAGTAGACATCCTAATTTTACTGTTATCATTCTAAATTAAAACATAATATTATTAAATTGTCATTCATTGATCAATCCAATTCGAGTGTAGATTGCGTCTTGCTGAAGGTTGATCTTTAGTTTGTACCAAGTTGTATTGATGTATTGAGCTGTACTGATCGTATTTTGATGAAATGAAAACCACTTATTCTATTATTCATAAAAAAAAAAATTTAAGGACACTCATTACCATTTCAAACATGACGCTATAACATAATTGGATACGGGGAATGGGCCTAAACTGTAAACGGGCCCGTAATTGATTTGTAACGATGTTTTGGGGCAAGTTGACTTAGGGCTCGTTTGCATCGTGGATTTGAAAAATGAAGGTTTTGATAAAACCTGGGTTTTCAAAAACCATGGAATTATGAAGGTTTTGAGTTCATTATGGACTTTTACAAAACCATTGTTTGTTTGATGGAATTGATGATGGATATTGCTATAATTAGAATTGTAGGTACGGTTGGAAATGACCTTATTGCCCTTCGTTCTTAATTATTTATTAAAGTATCTTTCATATATCAATTTACAAAGCTACAGACACGTTTCCACCGGAGAAGGTTATGTAAGATTGATAGTTTTTTTATTATGAGAAGAAGAGAAGCTTGCAGTTCAACTCATCAAATACAAACATCATATAAACCATAACATATGCCGCATAAGTAGCTATGTAATTATATATCAAAGCATTCCGAGTCATACTACAAAGTCAGTTTGCATACACATAGTTTGAATGGATGGGGAACTTTCAAAAGCAAAATACCTTAACCTCTTCCTATAACCTATGCATACTAACTACTACCTGTTAGCTTTGCATAAGAGAGGCGAGTTTCCCATCCATACTACATGTGTTCTAACAAAATTATATCCCTACATACCTAGGCACACCACTACATTCACATATACAGCTTCTACGGTCACATTCACAGCCCTACATACACAACTACTACATGATCATAACTTCTCAACGCAACAAGTTCTGAATAAAGTACTTCCGATCCTCCTCATTTTCCAATGCATAGAAAAGCCTTATCTTACGATCATTCTCCACCAAGACCATAGCAGCATCGAGAACTTGGCAGTGTTCTAAACCTTCAATTTTCCCTATTTCCGCCATCAATGCAGCTTCCTTTCCAGTCTCTTCTTCACGGTCTTCTAAGATGGTTCCAAGAGCATCAAGTGCCTTGGATATGACAGGCTTCAACCCACCGAGTTCATCGGCTACAGCTGCAATTGCATCGTCCGTCTTATTCTCTGTTTTCTTGGCCCTCTTCCTGATGTCGTCACAGGCCCCTGCTGCTGGAGGAACCGCTTTATGCATCGAAGTAGTTGCAGCTGCCCTCTGGGACATCTCAACCCCTTCGTTGATCAAATCTTCCATAAATCTCTCAGCACTATGTCCCTCTACAACGTGTGGTGTCTGAGTTACATCCAAATCAACAAATGTCGGACCATCTATGGCGGGGGAGCTCACATCATCAGTTATACCCACTGTTTTCCTTCCATTTGCAGGACCAACTTTCCCAAACACTTTCAGTAGTTCATCATAAAATGGGAAAGGCTTCCTGTTAAATTTTTTGCAGTTTGGAAACACCTACAAACAGATGGGTAAGGAATGTTAAAATATTATGGTCACTGATATTTGATGCAATTTGGGTTAAAGTGACAAATTACCTTCACGATATTCTCAAAGACATCATCATCCAGTGTAGGTGTCTTTGTTACTTCATCCCAACCACATCCGCTTTGATTACGCAGCAAGTGCACAGCATGGAAGTCCTTCTTGAGCAACTTGTGCCTACTACGAATGTGTGGTTCAACTCTGACACCGCAACCAGGAGCCCTCTCCTCCATCATGTACTGAAGCTCAGAAAAAGTCCCATTCTTGAAAGATCCGTTCTCCACCTGATGCCTCTGAGCTAACTCCACCATGCATTGTATGAGCAGAGCATTGAGCTTCTCGTCCCACGAGAAGTAACCACCAGCAGGCTCGGCTACTTCCCCTTCGTTGATGACTTGCTTTCTTTTTCTTGCCATCCTACAAACAAAGAAGCCATTTACAGTAGCCACTTATAAATAGTCTTCATTTAGTTAGAATACAACATGATTAACATAAATAACAAAATAACAGCACCCTTCATTCAGTTCGAATACAAGCATTTGATACCATTTATACATAACATCCATTGAAAGCAGCACCCTTCATTCAGTTAGACTACAACATGAACAGTCTTCATATAAACAAAATACATGTTCGTGGATTGATTCTGGAGTGTTGTTGCAAAGCGAACCGGCTAAATCCTGCCGTTTTCAGTTCTTGGTTTGCGTCAAATTCATTATTACATCATTCAAAGTCATAATATAATGACATAATATCTAACTGTGAAGTCTATGTTAAATATAATCAGGAAAACAATTAGAGAGGATACCATATCCAACATCAACTAATCACCCGACGTAATAAATCATTTAATCAACAGGATTCGGAACCAAATTTAGCCCTAGATCAAGCACCACACTTCACAAGGAGCTAACAGCCTGCTTCCAAACTTTCGTTCTCATTTTGTATAGCAACCTTCTTTCCTATTTTTTCCTTCAACAGGACCAAGATCTAATTGTGAAATCTATGGTCAATAAAATAAGGAAACCAATTGCAAAGGATCCCATATCCATCATCAACAGGATTCCCAACCAAATTCAGTCCAAGATCAAGCACCACACTTCATAGAGACTAACAGCCCGACTCCAAACTTTCAGTTCTTTCTCCACAAAGCTAGAAAAGGGAATCGATTCTTACAAAAAAAAAAGGGAATTGATCCATAAACTAGAGCTGGAAAGCCAAAATAAACAGTAGAGAAATTGTTCCTTCAGCAATTGGACAAGACTCGGGAGTTCTGCATTATGATTAGCATTCCCGAATCCCACCCACCTTCGAACCTCGATTAAGGAAACACAACCAATAACAAATGGGAGAGCGAGAAGAATCAATCCATTCCCGAAGAACAGCCAATCAATCTCACCTCAGGTTACATCCACGAACAAAGCGAGAAGAATCAATCATTCGCATTCTAGGGTTCGACATAGAAAATAGAGGGCCAAAAAAATATGGCAATTACAAACCTGGGTTGCAGCGGCGAAGTAATCGATCGAGGATGGAGAATTATTTGTTGGTGTTTTGATGCCGTAGTCTTTCTCCAAACCCCAAACCTTCTCGATTCGTGGAGCTGAGACTCGTTCTCCGTCTTTCACTCTTTCTCACACTGCCCAGCCACTCCCTTTTTGTCGCTCGTTTTGTTGGGAAGAAGAAAACTGAACGAGGTTAAACTTGGCAATAACGATTTATGTGGGGATAAGAAAGTAAAAAACTATCATGGACTTCAAAGCCTTAACAAATTCCCACCTATGGAGCTGGTTTTTGGAAGTCCATGGGGCCCACGGATTTGGACCCCAAAAGTCCGTGGGCCCCACATAGTCCATCTCCCCAAATGACACAAGCAAACAATGGATTATTTGCCAAGTCCATGAGGAATTGGTTTTGGGACCCAAAACCTTCATTTTATCCATCAAGCAAACAAGCCCTTATTTAGCTACGTGTCTAAAAGAAATTATAGAGAAAAATTATTAAACCGGATAAGTCAATCATAATTTTTAAGTCATAAAATAATTTCGTACATTCCATACCACTCGTAAGTGGAAAAATAAGCAATGAATATTTTCTATATGAAACACATATAATCTATGAATTCAAAGTCATACCGAACTGAAAATGAAGCATAACATGTTCGAAAGATGGAAGCACTCTTGTGATGGTTGCACTAGAGTTCAAGTAGTACGAGTAATTTACTCATTTGTGTAAATGTCGCTCAAATAGTACAAGTAATTTCATTATAAAAAAAAGTAGCATGAGTAATTTGTGTAAATAACTAAATGTAGAGGAACTAGACAAGAGGATTCAAGGGGCCTGGGAGCCAGAAGTAGTGGAGGCCCTGGCCATCGAGTTCGGCATTCATATGGCGGGAAACCTCCAAATCCAAAGCTTCCAAATCGAAACAGACTGTCTTTCAGCGGTTCGGAAACTTTGTGGTCAAGAAGTCATTATTACCGAGTTGGGTACAATATGTATGAGTATAGAGGGTCCTTGGGATGAGATTAGAAGAGGTGACCCGCTTTGTTAAAAGGACAGCGAATGAAGCGGCGCATCTAATGACCAAATGTAATACGAACTGGAACTTACCAGTAGTATGGCTAGATAGGCCATCGATAATTGTGATTGATCAGCTACGGCTGGACGATGTAACGGCAGTTTCTGATTAATAAAGCTCAATACAGTTTGACATAAAAATAAAAAATAAAAAGACAAACCGAAAACAATTCATACCGATAAAAAAATAGAAGAAACGAATCTACATCGAAATTGATATCTCTATCATCTACAGATTTACAACCCAATCGACAGCTGCCTGAAGTATTCTCAACTTCCACATCATCCCCAGCTGGTCCAGCACCAAAACCACTCTCCTCGAGTCGGCCCCTTCCTCCAACAACACCGGCGCAACCTCCAATTCCTCTGCGGCCGCAGCTGCCACCGTTGTTTCTCTCTCCACCGCGACCAACCAGAAGCTCTCGCTGAGCCCTCTCTGAACTCGCTCCCAACTCAGCACTTCAAATCCCCCCTCCCCCTCTCCTCCTCCGTCCAATTTCACCGCCGTACACAGGTAATTGATCCCACCGAATCGCTCCGCCGTGAGCGGCCGCGCCGCTCCCATCATAATCACCGTCCTCCTCCACCACACTCCATCGTCGCGGCCGTCAATTTCGAAGATCAAAACTTCCCCTGTATCGAACAAGCACCAAAATTTCCCACCCCTGCACCCAATCCCCGCGCATATCCTCCCTTCCCCGAACCCGATCTCGTAATTCGTCCACCAACCCTCACGGCGGAGGAGCGTGCTGAAACTGGTGTGACAACCCCCGCCGCCGCCGTGGACCACCAGGACCATCGAATCGGGATCCGTCGGAGGGGCGGAGAACGCCGCTCTTGTCCTGGCTTTTGTCGGCCTCGACCTCTTCTTCTTCTTATTTCTGGGCAGCTCGATGACGTTGGGCGGCTCGAGAAGGGGATTGAAGCAGCAGAAGATCTCGCCGGTGGAATTGCTCATCAGCCACCAGCCCCCGATCTCGTCCCTGCCGACGACGGATGCGCCGGCGAAATCGCCGCGGAGATGTGCCGGGATTTGCTGCGGGCGTGACGTTATCATCGTCGTGCCGCCGCTGCGGAACAAGCAGATGGTGAAGTCGGCGTTGTGGGACGACCGGGGCGGGGCGTAATCGGCGGCGGAGGAGTAGGTCCGGCGCCAGTTCTTGCAGACGGAGCCGAACTCGGTGCGTTCGACGTGGGAAGGGAGCTTCACGTAGATCAAATTCAGGAGCTCTGGACAGAGATCTTCCCATGGACGGCGCGTTTCCGTCTCTCCTCCCGGCCTCTCCTTCTCGCTCGCCATAATTGGAGAAATCTCAAATCGCAGACGACGACTTACTTTACATTACTGAATACAGACTTCATATAAATTCGTTGGCGTTTGGTGGGTCAATATAATCGAAAGTCAACTATGTGGTTTTGTATCTTAAAAAGTAAACTCGAATCAACAAATTATTTGTAAGAAACAGCGAATTTCAAGGTGCAAATCTCTGGGGGGGAAAAAAAAGTTCAAATCGATCGATAAAAACGATGATGCATCATGAATTGATTGGATTCACCAGTAAGAACGAGGACCTAACAAGTAGAGTGGTATGAAAATCGCCGCGGACCAAGCTCACACAACTCCAGTTGGCCGCCGCGTGGAGATATTGTTACGGTTCTTCAGTCTTGGCCTTCGGAGGTTCCGGATAATGTGAACTCCTGGTTTTCCTTTGCTGCGCTTCACTCAGTCTGTTGGCACGTCTGGCGGGAGAGGAATCGACGCATTTTCAATGATTGCAGTAGCCCCGCCAGAGTTGTTTCCAAAAATGCGTGTAAAGAGGTTATTGAATGGATTTCTGCTCATAACAAGGTGGATAGATATATTTGTTCTCAGTGGCTCAACGAGAGAATTCAGAGGATCTGATCCTCCTGGCTCCTCGCTGCTCTGACGCGATTTGTGTGGATCCCCTGATAGTGCTTGGAGTTTGTCTGCTGTATCTGTGGCGGGCTATGCCTCTTTGAGTCTCTTTGGGGGCTGTTCACTTCCGCTGGGGGGTTGAGCTCGTCTGCTGCTCATTTGGTGGTTCTCCTGCAAGGTGTTCTTTGGTTGCTGCTGTTGTATTCTGTTGGGTCTATGTTAGTGAGGGAGGGTCTCGTAGCAGAGTTTGGTGAGAGGGCGGTGCTATGTTCGTCTCCTGTTGCTGGGTCTGGTTTTTGTGTCTTCGTTTTTTTCCTTTGTTTCCCGGCGAGTGGGAGCAGTCTGGTCTGCTTTTCTCTGTCGCTTTTTGTGTCCCGTGAGCTGCCTTCCTCTCTTGGCGCTCATGTTCGTTTGTTTTTTCTTTCTTTCTTTTTCTCTGTTCTTTCGGTTGTGGCTCTGTGAGATCAGGCCTTGTGATCTCCTTGTCTGTACAGTGTTTGTTTCCTTTTCTCTTCTTGCAATAAAATTCATCACCATTATCAAAAAAACTCCAGTTGGCCGCTCTTTCGGACGACGTCGTTGTGTACTTATCGTCCAAGTACCAATTCCCCGATTCCTCCTTGGCCGATCTTTCTATCCCCGCCGTCAACAGCCGGAAGCCGCCGTCGGGTCCTTTCTTAACTCTCTCCCAACTCACCACCACTTGAAATTCCGAATCCTCAGCGAGCTTCGCCGCTGCGCGCAGATAGTTGATCATGGGGAATCGTCCCGGCGCCAGAGGACGCACAGCCAGCAATATCGTTACGCTTACCTGACACCTACTCTCTATGCCGC